TAGTTTGTGGCTTGGTCTTAGTGACTTAGGAGTCCTCTTCACTACTCCTAACCTTTCACAGATTTAGGAGCTAGTTTTAGTGCAAAAACGCTTTGTGAAATACTCTTAGAGCAAAAATGTAGGAGTCCTAAATTTAGAATTGATGCCCATTATTTTTAAGATTTTCTCCTAAATTGGCGAGTTATGAGCTACTTTTAGCTTGAAGATGTTTTGTGAATACGGGCCCTGGACTCTTTTTCTAAGGCCACTCCTGCACATAGAAACACAAGGTTTGTCCCAGGGCTAAAAGTGTGGCGACCGATCAGGATCTTCTGAAAGACATGCTGTCATGGCTACCAACTCTACCAACTGAGACTTTTGTAAATATACAAGGGGACAGGGACAACCTGAAGGAGAGGACCTTGTACTGATATGCCCGTCCCTCGAAGGCAAACTGTGAAAACTGCCTGTGCTGAGGAAGTATCGAGACATGAAAATACACATCCTTTAGGTCTATCTCTTCAGGTCTATCTTGTGTCAGAGACACGTCAGCATGTCAAGTCAAGTCACCTTTATATAGTACTTTATACAATACTGATTGTGTCAAAGCAGCTTTACAGTGTCAAACAGGGAAATAGTTTGTCAATAATGCAAGAGGACAATAACAGAGTAATTTTTCCAGCTAAAGCAAAGTCCCTTTAAGGCAAGTAATGTCACTCGGTGGCCATCTTTGAAATGGCTCTCGGGCATGCAAGTGCAGCTCCTATCTCTTTGAATGGGGAAACATCAAATTCTCCAAAACTGTTCGCCAAGCTTATAATTAAATTTCATATTTGAAATCACCAATGAAATCTGACAACAACTGTATCATAAATGTTGTTTATTTTGCTTAAATAGCATTTAAAAAAGCTTATTTCTCAGGCTAGACCAGCCAGTGCGCATGTGCAGTCCTAGGCACACGTCTCAGAATGCTGAGTGTTTCTATAGCAACCGGGACTTCTAAATGGCAGCTGCAGTGATGCGATGACTTTAGCGATTGGCTCTTTTACTCAGAAGGCGGAACTTCGTTTGATAGAGTGGCCATATTGAGCGTTGCATTTTTCCCCATTCAAAATTATACGAGTGACATGTCTTGGGTATTATATAGTCTTTGATAAAACTGCACATTAGCACCAAGACACTGTCGGTGTGGTGTGTAACACAATACAAATTAATGCTTTGCCATAATCAATGTTGTCTATAAAACAGTGACATAATACTTTACTCTTATCTTTACCCTTTGATTGCCTATCTGTCTTTATGTTGGCAATGATGTGACATTTATGAATTGTGTTCTGTATTTTGTGTTGACTAAGACTGAGGATGTTCCAAAGGGGGCAGGACATGCTCAGAACACGACCACAGAGAGTCAGCACCGTTGCATTTTTCCCCATTCAAAATTATACGAGTGACATGTCTTGGGTATTCTATAGTCTTTGGCTAAAGTCAGTCCATTGATGATTCAGTGATGTCGTCATCATCCAGTTCAGCTCTCTTCCAATAGTGTTTGTGCAGTCAGTCAAACGTCCCCAACTAAGCAAGCCAAAGGCGACAACGGCAAGGAACCAAAACTCCATCGGTGACAGAAATGGAGAAAAAACCTTGGGAGAAACCAGGCTCATTCTCCTTTGGCCAGACAAAACCAGCATGGCATGGTTTAATTCCAGGCTGCAACACAGGTCAGATTGTGCAGAGGACTTGTCTCCACCATCCTCACCTTTAAGTGAGGTGAACAGGACACCGAAGTATCTGGGTGGGCACCTGGCAAATGTGAATGCATAGCCCAGCCGGATCATCCTGATTAGCCAGTGTGATGGGTTGGGCAGCGCTAGCCATGCATCCAGATACTGCACTAATGGCACCAAAGGGACAATGTCCGGCGAATCCACAGTGGGTAGCTTGTGGCAAGGTGGAGCAAGGCAGACGTCACCTTAATTTTGTATTTGAAGAGCCTGTTTGCCAGAACGTTGTCATTTACAATTGGACTGTGTAATTTGCATACTAAGCCATCGAATCCAAATGCAAATTTTATTCCATGCATGGCTGGAAATAAGATTTGAGAGCTTTGTTTGTTGGTTGAAATCAGTCAGACTGGTAATAAGTTGTGAATTTGCAGGTGTGTTCAGAAGTTGTTTCCTGTTAATGACAATTAACAATTGAACTTTTTTTTTTTACCCAGGTTACACCTGCATCTACAAACGCCGCACTGGGACCAAAACGGACGGCTGTGCAGTGTGTTATCACAGCGACCGCTTTACCCAGCTTTCCATCAATCTGCTGGAGTTTCGCCAATCAGACTGTGAGCTGCTAGATCGTGACAACGTGGGCATTGTGCTGCTCCTCCAGCCTATGGCAGGGCAGAATGAAGCATTCAGCCCCATATGTGTGGCCAACACACACCTGCTGTTCAACCCCAGGAGAGGAGATGTGAAGCTCGCCCAGCTGGCCATCGTGTTTGCTGAAATTGACATCATGATCAAAAAATGCAGGAGTGAAGGAAGACGCTGTGAGGTGGTTTTATGTGGGGACTTTAACGCTTTACCCAACAGCCCTCTGTGGAATTTCATCACCACCGGACAGCTTTACTACCAAGGGTTACCTGCTTGGATGGTGAGTAGGGCTGCCAAAACAAATCAAATTTCGAGTATTCGTCGAATTTAAAATAAAAATCCAATGCAAAAACGTTGCATTCGAATTTTAGGTGTGCGTCAGGCAGCTTTATCAGTGGAGCAAGATATGCGACGACGATGTAGGTGTCATTGCATTTGAATGCTTTTCTTAGCCTATCCAGTTGAACCCACTGGATTCGGCGCTGCTACGTTGTTCATTAAAAATATTGCGGAAAAAGAGAACATTGTGGAGAAGATGTTGTTTACGTCAAAACTGAAACCAAGCCGTTCACACAGAGCGCATATTTATCGCATTTTTCTAGAGGGACATCTATCAGCATTGCACTCGCGTCTCGCACAAGAGAGCCACATGTTTAGAAAGCCATGTAAAATTAATATAACTTCAACTTTTAAAAACATTTCTTGAGACTTTATGGCGTTTTTTTCCCCATCCCACTGCATCTCATGTTTTTAAATGAAGAAAGTACTCTTTGTGATTTGATTTTCGGTCCTTTGTATTAAACTATAGATACATACATGATGCTGTTTTGTTTCTAATTGTTTAAGCAACGTAATTAATTATATATGGTTTATAGACATTACTTTAAACATTATGCACTTTTTTTTGAAGATAGTTGTGTTATTTTATTGCTTTGAATAAACGTGCATTAGTGATATTTTGCTCGATGCGCCCCCTTGTGGCCTCAGGAGAGAAGCCAAAAGCTTTTTTTCCCCCTAACTGAAATTATGCCTTTTAAATTCGAATATAATTCGAATATTGATAATATTTAAGAACAAAATTCGAATGTAGTTTTTTTATCCATTTTGACAGCTCTAATGGTGAGTGACCCGACAGTCACAACATAATTTAGCCGTCTGAAGAAACAATGTTCTGAAAGTCAGACATTTAACTTATCTATATTAAACATAAAATGTATCAATATTAGCTGCATATACCCTGTAAGTTGATTTAAAATCATGGAGACTGAATAGGAAAGTTGGACAAGTCTAGTCAAATGTATTTGTATAGCGCTTTACACAATCTTTTAACGTCGGTTGGTTTTGTTCTGGTAAGAAATTTAAATATTAGTCAGTTTTGTTCTAGTAAGAGATTGAAATACAGTATCTGTTGTTTTGTTCTATTAAGAAATTTAAATCTTGGTTGTTTTGTTCTAGTAAGAAATATAAATATTTTCTGTTTTGCTCTATTAAAAGATTGTCCAATATTCGTCCTGTCTGCCATTAATCAAACAACAGTGAGCGAAAATCTCCCACTGCTTTTGACTAAATCACTTTTGTAACTGTAATAAGAAGAAATTAATATATTAA